ATGGGCTGGCTCGTTCAGCCCGTCACAAAAAGTCAAGCGATTATTAGGTGATATTATCGTTGAGGTGATAGGCCCTTGCGGAGCACGGGCAATTTTATTGATATTCTGCTATAGTAGCCGTTGAGCCCAAGTATTCTATCTAGGATGTATTTATATTATATGTCGGTGTTGTTCCTAGAGATGCTATACGAGTCTTGCCCCATCGAAAATCATCTAAGTTGTATATAGTATAGAGTTGGACTACGAAATTAACAAATGGTGCGCACAGGCCATATATTATAATCCCAGAAAGTAATTGGAGTGACTCAAGGAGTGACCTTGCAGAAAAGATGACACACATTAAATCCCAAACTTTCCGGTAGTTCTCTAAGAAGTACAAGATCGAGAGTGTTCTGTTGTCTAAAATCCCTATACGCTTTTGTTAGCTCTGTGTCTTTACTAGTGATAAAAGCGAGTACGCACGGTAATACTTTGAAATATAAAGCGCTGGATTCACTACCCAATGAAACACAGAACAAAGCGCCGCTATTCTTTCCATATATCCAGTTGATTTGCGACTGATTAGAAGACTGTCGCTTGTGAGAGGCCCTAGTGTCCACCTCCGACGTTGGCTTAGGAAGATAGAAGGGCTCCATGGGGCTGTAGTATACGCTTTTGCTTTGAGGCACAAGCGTGTTTGAACGTCAGAATATTCTGACAGAACCAGACATACGTGATCTCTGTCCTCGCTCATCATAGACCGGATCGTTCGAAATAGACCGTCAGTTTCTTTAGGATAGTAACCGAATCTGCCTAAAATGTGGTCGCCACAAGTAGATTCCTGGACTCGCAAAAGTTGACAGCATCCTGGGAGACAGGTCACTCTTCCATTTGTGAGGCTTTGACGTAGACGACGGCGGTGCTGTCCAACTGTATACTCAGCGTTCTGGTAAAGGTAGGAAAGAGAAATTGGGCTTGATGTTTGAGGATCTGCTCGAATATAGCCAGTCACACCGACAACCTTGTCACCCTCTCTCACTGTCTGTAATAGGTTAGAGACGCATTCAGGGTCGAATCTAGTATCTGCGTCAATGCCAATAGCGTAGTCGACAGACTGGATTTGGTTACTCTCAAGAAAGAGTGAGAGCTTGTCGAAAAGCTTAGGTGTAAGCATAGCTAGAGAGGGACTAAGTTTACGGCTGTTAAACTTATGAAGAAATGAGCGGATAAGAACGATTCCGTCTCGCTTGCCTCGATTCTCGTTTTTAATAAGGCAAATAATTGGAAAGCCTTTAAACTCTCCTTTAATAAGCTCAACATCCATCTGGTTTCCATCCCACGAGGTGTAGGCTTCAGGCACGAAAGTGCTAGAGGGTCGCTCGATAATATCTTCCTTTAGGTAGGCAGCGGCTGTCTTGGCATTGCCTTTAGTACTAACGTGGCCATCGCAAACTACGATGATAAGCTTTTTATGCTCGTCTATCGAATTCTGCATGGCCAGAGAATTTAGGGAAACCATTAATTCCATATAAGTCTCATTGTAGCAACAAAGCAAGTAGACAAAGCTTTCCGGTGTTTTAGGAACCTCAAGAACCTGGGGGTATAGACGCCGGTACCAGAAGAATATAATGACCAAGGTTATTTCGATGAAGTCGACCAGAGATCGCATGATAACGAGTGGAGCTAGTCCCCAGAAATATTTCAAGTACGACTTGAACATGTAGAGTAGGGTGAAGCTATGCGTTAAGATTTAGCCAACCTGTATATGGCCGCTTGTGGAGACAAAGGTATGTCTCACTTACTTCAAAGGGACGAGTATCCCCATTGTTGCGTATTTTTCAGTTCTTAGTCGTTGGTTGTTGACGGATGGTAGATGTTCAATCGCGTTTCGTAAAGCCTGGGTAGATATGGAAATTGTTTTTCCCTGGAGGCTGTCCGGTGTATCTTTCATAGCGATTGCACTTTGAGTCGCCGTGCTCGAAGCACGGATGATATTCATTTTGCAAATGTTATCGTACCTGTCTTGGGGAGATAGGCACTGTGGGAAGGTGTCGAAGGTTCTTCAGGATGTCTCGTGCTTGTCACAAGAGCGAAAAAATACGGATGCAATATAAGGTCCGTCCTTGCGTGCCGAAAAACCCTATGTGCCGAAAACGACCCATCGGATCGCAAGGATCATGGACTTCCCTCTAAGCGTCGCACTCCGATTGGTTGTTTTCAGAACATAGGGTTTTTCGGTACGCAGGGACGGACCTTAATTGATCTTGGGGAGTAGTTTTTATCAGCCGTATTAATCTAGCCCTAGGAAGTAAGTATTCTTTTGAATCTGAACAGGGTTCATTACAACTTAGAACTGGGAGGAATACAAACCACGAATTAGTCCATCTTTTTGACCGCTTCGAATCAATCTGTTCACTAACGTCAGTAGCCACTAGCAAGGGGTTGTTTCAGACTGTGGAAACTATGCAGTTGTGATCCGAATGAGTTAGGGTTAATGCGGAACGGTAAGCACTCCCAAAATAGCTGGAATTAACCCAGAGTAGGGCCGACTCATTGCGTGTACTTAAGTTCAATACTTTAGAGCATGCTGATCAAACCAAAGCTCATGACTGTTCTTTGCTCTCATATGCGTGCTAGCTTGCCATGTCATGACTTGCGCTTAAGCGGTAACCTGCAGCTTCTTAAAGAGCCGAATTTGTCCGCAAGGCAAGTACATAAAAATCCCCCGCTCTAACGCATTATCACCTGGGTAGCAAACGAATGACTCGCATGGTTATGCCTCGTAAAGAGATCCGATATAAACACAGGCCTAGTAAAGCGCTGACTTATGACAGTGGCTTGGAGCGAATCGTCATCAGAATACTCTTTTGAGATCCTTTCACGCACAAAAATCATCCTGTGAACCATCCCCTTTTCTAGCGCCATCTTATCTTCTTTGACATGGATTTCAAATTGTCCACATCAAGCCAAAGCCTGACCCGTGCCACCTGTTCGTTCTCGATCAAGTCCAATGAGCACACCGTCGTTGCAGTCATCGGGGTAGGTTATGTTGGAGAACACCTCTTGGAAGCCTTCTCGTCCGCTTTCCCCGTCATTGGCTACGACATCTCAACTTCACGAATTGAACATCTGCGTTCAAAGCACTCCAAAAGGACTAATGTCAGATTCTCGACCGATGAGAAAGATTTGCAGAGCGCATCGCACTTCCTCATTTGTGTCCCTACACCACTAGGGTTAAATAACTCAATCGATGTTTCCCATGTTCAAAACGCAGTGACTATGCTCTACCGCCATGTTAGTAATAAGTCTATCGTGGTGATCGAGAGCACTGTCGCAATCGGCATGACAAGGGAACTGCTTGAACCACTCGCCAGGCTACGTGGTATATTTGCTGGAATGTCGCCACAGGTAAGTAAGCTCATGATGCGAAGCAAGAGGATTGATAGCTAAGACCCAAATAGAGGATAGATCTTGGCAGAGTCGAGCCTCCGCTACGATCAATACCTAAAGTCGTCTCAGGGCTAGATGATATTGTTCCAGGGTCGTTAAGCGCCATTGAAAGCTTATATCGGGCTGTGTTCAACACTATCATCTCAGTTAGTAAGCCTGAAGTAGCAGAGATGTCAAAACTATACGAAAATTGTCAGAGAACAGTAGCTATCGCTTACGCTAATGAGATGGCGGACGCCTGTAAGGACTTAGGAATTGATCCTTTTGAAGTGGCGCAAACGTCTGCTACTAAACCTTTTGGATATCTGCCTATGTACCCCTCACTAGGCATTGGGGGACACTGCATACCAGTAAATCCAGTATATTTTATGTCGACTTGCAGATTACCACTGCTACAACAAGCTCATGAACGGATGATGGCCCGCCCTTCACGCATCGCCAATCAGCTCCTTATCTCAATACTAGAAGATACCCATCAGAAGTACGGTGTCACAAAACGGCCAAAACTTCTAGTAGTTGGACTAGGATTCAAGGTTGGACAATCGGATATGTCTAATTCCCCTGGCTTACAGCTCCTCAACTTTATGCGCCAGTCGGGCGAGGTGGATTTAATGTTTTGCGACCCATTGGTGAAGCAAGAGTCCATACCAGAGATACCGAAGCTAGACGAGAGTCTCTGGAAGGGGGATTTTCTTATATCATTCGACGCGATAGTGATAGCTGTGAAACAGCCGCCTCTGGACTATGGTCTTTTGGATACCTTGACAGATGTGCGGATAGAGGTATGGCAAAGATGACAGCGCATGTAGCCGTTTCAAAGGTTCAAGGATAAATACCAATCAGCATTTCACGAGTACACAACGCGTAATGCTGATGACTCACTAGAATTCACCCTTGCCTAGTTGTTTGATGATAATGCTGCATCATTAGTCGTGCTCTGATTCAACGCACTCCACTCGCGCCGCAACATGGATTCGAGAATCTGCGCTATTAAAATTACAGTCGTTAGCGATTGCGGCTTCACCCTTCCACACCGCTGCGCAGCGGTTTCGAACAGCCCCACCTTCCATACATAGCTTAGCGCGAGCAGTCGGCTGAACATGATTGGTCAATCTTCAGTCTCATGATGACAAAACTTTCACAATGCTGCCTGCAAGGGTGAAGCCGCAATCACTATTTACTGCACCCCACCAGAACCTCGAAACGCAACGTTAGCTCATCCCAAAATCTCACTCGGTTCTTTCCAAATGCTGTTTCGTTTTTAGAACGGAGGCGGTGAGCATAGAAAGTCAAATGCCATGCATAGGCAGGTCAGCCGACCACGTGCCACGCGTACACAGATGCTCGACTCATTCATTTTAAACCTACAAAATCCAATAGCTTTCACAGTTGGTCAATCAATCATCGTTCAATCATGAGTTTGGGATCATTCAGCCCATTCTATTATTTTCCATTGGGGAACGTGTGTCCGACAGTGTCTCCGTTGTTGAATGCTGAAGGTTACAGTTATGGAAGATGTGGCCCAGGCGTTCGACACCCATCTTGCAGCTATTGCTGTTCCGAGGATGTAGGTAGTTATCGTTGTGTCACATCAATTGCTGATTATCATCTTGCAATGAGTAGGGATACCGCATGACACACCCTAGATATTCTGGTTCAAAAGTGTGCCTTCATAACAATGGACTAGCTTGCGACGGCTCTGGATGGCCTCCGGGCTTTAATACATCAGAGACTTCACGACCAAAGATCGGGGAAGTTCCATATGGAAAAAGCCTACATCGTTGTACTGTGCAAGGCACGCTTGCGCTTACATACGATGATGGCCCTTCACCATGGACTCACGATTTATTGGACATTCTCAAGGCAAATAATGTGAAAGCTACTTTCTTTGTCAAGACTATCAATTTATATGAAGATTTAGTCAACCATCGCAGTGACCAGAAACCTGCGATCATCAGAAGAATGTACAATGAGGGACATCAGGTTGCTGGACACACTTTTGCCCACAAAAACCTAGATAATTGGCAAGATAGGGAACGCATGGTGGACATGACAAAAATGGAGATGGTGCTCAACGATATACTTGGCTTTTTCCCGACTTACATGCGACCGCCATTTGGCCAATGCGGTCCTGCGTGTCAAAAACAGATGGGAGAGCTGGGATACCATGTGGTCAGTCTGAACGCTGCTGCTATGCAGTTTGCAACATGTGGATAAAAGCTAATTTTATAGAAGATTTCTTGGGACATGAACCCTCGAGACTGGCAAGGCAACTACACCTACGCGGAAGAAGTTTTTGTCGAAAAAATTCAGAAAAACAACAGTCAGAACAAGAAAGCGTGGTTGAATGTAGCGCATGACACACAGAATCGTACGGTATATACCTTTACTCAGTTTATGATTAACAAAGCACGAGAGTACGGTTACGAGCTAGTAACGGTCGGAGAGTGTATGAATGACCCAGAAGAAAATTGGTACCGAGATCCCTTATCAGGTAATAGGCCTCTTATACTTCCTCCAAAAGAGGTAATATAGTGTCCACATGTTGCACTCGTAGGTGCTTCATTATATAACAAGGATGATCGCATATAACTATAGCTCTCTAGTATCTACTCTCTTAATTCTTGTGTCGTGTATAACGTACCTCACGGATTCGTGCAACACTTTTGCCAAGACCCCACCAAAACTACCACATTATAGCCCAAAACAGCACACTTTAGCCGTATATGGTACAAAGCATAGGCTTTGCGAGACACACGATACAGAGGAAGGCTATTGCAATACCTGCCACTTGTAGAGCTAGGCTTTGCGACTAATTATCTAACAATGTTATGTTACAAGTAACAGCAGGAAGGATCCTCTCTCTAGGTTTCACGATGAATAGTTGGTAGACCACACGGAATCCCGAAGGACAGAATGATCATAGGGTGCGAAGATCACGTGACTTGACATCCAGCCAAGATAGGACTTCCAGGAGGCCACTGTAGGAAGGGAGGCCAACGTCTTCCCAAAACTCTCGCCAATATAGGAAGCCAAGGAGGATAGGACTAAAAGTAATAAGGATATAAGAAATATGTAGGTAGTTGAGTGTATAAAAAACATGGCTCATTGTGTTTTATATCATAATAGGACTAAGTTTGAATACAGTATTATTAGTTAGTAGGTAACCACGTGACTATAAATAGTAATTATAGTCTTATAGAGATACAGGCACGAGTACAAGATGGATTGCTAAAGATTGATGAGGCAGGGCTACTGCTACAGGTAGTATAGCGTATGTCGACAGGACATAGCTCAATGAACGACGGGGGAATGGGTATCGTGGCGATTTTGTACAATACGCGTGCTCAGTTAACCAGCACACACGCACGCTGACCGCGTCGTTCAGCGCCATGACACCCATCTATCTCTTTTGATAGTTATAAGATGTACAATTCATCGGCCTATCGTTATTTTAGTATGGTCTTAAAAAGATTATGGGAACCTTACGCCAATTTCCAGCAGCAGTATAATCGATATTCTGATGAATCGTTCCAATGTTAATTGCGAAGGTGGTTCTTCGCGGAAAGGTACTAGAACCTGATCCTTGCGCGATTCCGTTATCAATTCGCGATAATCCAGGATCAGAACCCTGCCTTTGAGACTGGGCGCCAAAGTTGATGAATAAATCAAGCGGAGCAGTAACCTGAACTTCTAGGTATACCCAGAAGGTTCCTCCTTGACCAAACGTTCTCCAGGCTCTAAAGGTTACATGATGACCAGGACCGGAGCCGGCCCATGTAGTAAGAGGAAGTTCCTGAAGTGTTGGTGTATGACCATATTCAAAGGCGTTTCGCTCAATTGTTTCTCTGAGATCAAGCTGAAAGACAGGTAAATCAGCCGAAGTAGATGGAAAGGCAGTGCATGCGAGATTGCCGCGCTTAGCCAGGTCCACCTTAACAGGCGAACAAGACGCCAGTGAAAGGAGAAAGAGTAGAAACCAAAACATTTGAAACGGTAAGATAGACGATGAGTAAATCCAGAGAAATATATATTTTGTTGATAAATAACTTCAGGAGGGAGAAATATAGTATATATAGATCTCATGATTAATAGCTTCTCTACTATTTTTTTGCTATAGTTAAATGTTAATATAAAAAGCTTGTTAATAGTCTTACGTTATCTTTACGATGGAGGTTCGGGTAATTATATTAGCATAATCACTCAACGTACTAGAATAGGACTTTATTCGCGCATGGCCCTTGCTCGTGCGAATAAACCCTATTTGCCAGCTTGTCGAGGTATTAACTACCAAAGTTTTTTTTTTAAAAAAAAATTGTGGGTAATATTATAGGAGCGCTCGGACTAATTTGAACTAACTATTGCACGGGATTAGGCTATACTTCTCTGGTCTTGGTCCGGGTCAGGGCGAGATAGCTGGAAGCAGTAATCCGTGCGATTACCTAGAAGTACCGTGGAAACCAGTTAGAGGATTTAGCCGAAAAGGAGTTGATTCTAAATAATGAAGAAATGACTAAATATCAATCTATATGAGAGGAGGACTTATAATAGTGGACCATAACGAGAGTAATAACCATATCTGTCCATTCTTTATACCCGTTGCCTAAGGTCCTAGCATCACTCCTTCATCCTAAAGTCACTAACTCCTCCCTGCTCCTGTGAGGTCATGTCCTCACATGCCCAGAGTGGCATCGGGTTAGGGTCTTGGCGTGATGTCAGTCACGCAGTCAGCGCCCCGCGGTAATCATTGCCTTCTGATGTGAACATCGGTTGGCTTTCAACCCTCAGTCCCCTGTCAAGGAGAGAATTTTTCTCATTACTTCTGTTACTAGCCACGTACGTCAGCTTAGTAAAGATTAGAGTTTGGAGCAATGAATTTAATTAGCAGATTGATTCGCGAACGTGCCAGATGCAGGGACGTCCATAATGTCACCGAATTCAGTGTGTTATGGTCGCGAATGAAATCTTTCATTAATAATTAGCATCATAGAGATAAGCACTAGTTGACGGAAAAATCTTACTAAACTTAATTTTATCGAACTAGACCATGAAAGGCATCTAGAAACCTCTTCCAACTAGGCTGAACGGGATTCTATATAACTAGAACTTTGCCTCCTCAATTGTCAAGTGGAAAAACACTCAAATATCTGCTTTGCTCACCCCCCTTATCTATTACTATCAAATCTAGCTATGTACTTATACAGCACTCTCGTACTCCCTGTCCTTTGGTATTATGAACCTTATTCAATGTCTATTTTTTTTTTTACTCATCATCGCAGGTCTGTCGTGGTCGCCAAACAATATGATTATTGCGCATGCCAATATAGCAGTAACGGGCAGGTATACTTCTCAGTTGTAGATCGAATCGCAGCAGACTGCTCCAATCCCTACGTATATGGTATACCTCCAACGATTTACACTCATAGGGACCAAAGCTAAGTATAATAGGTCAAGGTGATAATGAACTCTGGATTCCTGCGCCCAATGGCTGGGGTCCTAAATTCTCGGGAAGATATGTAAGTTTACGATGTTAAGACCTTTAAGCCTCTTACTAACGCACTGTAGCTGAAGAATCCAAATGGAAAGATTGACGGACCCGCATTCTATGATCTCTGCTCCAGGAGTGGTGCTGGCGATAGTACTTGCTTTGATTGTGGGGCCACTCAGTCCAACGGTGACTTGACACTCATATGTACGGGCTAGATTAATGTTAATCCCTGCAACCCAGGAGGCACCCTAAGACGAGAGGGGTTTGCCCTTCGGACTTTCGGAAAATCGATTAATCAGCTTAACAAAGCTGTAGTCCATGCATAAAGATATATAATTATGCCTATCACTTTAGGAGGATAGCCCTATCCTCTTTGTACTATTATCCCTCTAGTATATTGCTTAGCTGCATAAATGACGTACGGGTGGCCTTACCAGGTTTCCTGCTCTTATGTAATTTTACCCCACCATCCTATATCAAATACTAACGCTGTCTTTTTCAGAATCCATCCTTAATTCTCGAGGTCAAAGTTTACAAAGTATAGGCTGTCTCTATACTATCACCTATTGTCAATCATCTCTAGTATCAATACTACCCAAGTACGCCACACCATGCCTTCGTCATCCACCCAGTCTACACCACAACCACCACTACCAACAGACAAGGGTGAGCCAGCCCGCCTTCAGGACACTATGCAATATGCCACGCAAGACAACAACAAGAACAGTGGCAGCCAAAACAGCACGAAAACCTCGACCCCGACCTCAAAAGTCAAAGACTGTAGTAAAACAGCACTTGGGATATTATGCATGCCATGTGCACCTTGTGCCTTCCTATGCATGTGCTTCATCTATGGAGATGACGGGTTCTTAAATGGACCGTGTATTAACAGTTGTTGCCCGGGATTTGCCAGGGATCGTTTAAGGAAGAGGTATGGAAACGGAAGGTGGGGGTAACATACCCCATAGGTTCGCGAGCCAATCTTGCCAAGCCCTCATCAAAACACCTACCCTATCCTGATGTCGCCACAAGATCACTCATAGCCCTTTACTAAATGTTAAATATAATTTGCTCTTCGCGATCTTAAATAAGATGTGAATCTCACTTTACAAGGCGCTGCAGCTATCTAGGACGTTAATTCAGCGTTTTATGGGCGGAGAGGCCCCAACCGTTTTGTCTTCTAATCCGCCGTCACTTTCTTAATGCGCTTGATATGGACTTTTGCGAAGCGTTGCGATAGCTTAGTGTCGTTCAATTTATCTATAAGTTGTGTCCATGCTGACTCGATATCATGGAACCCAGTTCAATTGCGCGGTCGTCGCACTGGCATTATGCAACTATGTAGTAAACTAGCCTCGATAGGTTCCTCAATTAGGATAGGCGCATTATCGAGAGTATTTCCTTTTAGAGAATATGATAGCTAGCTTATAGGCAAAGCTGTTACACTCGAATGAAAGTGCTTATAAGAGTGCTATTAGGTAGATGATTCACGTATGAATTGGAAAACTATCGATCCTCAATGGGATCTCGGGTCAATCACAGAATCCTATTTCTCATCAAGCACCCGTAATTCATACTCCATCCGAAAGATGTCCAGACAGACAGATCTATACAACGCAAACGAGGCAGTTGGCACAACGTTCCTAGGGGATAGGTAGGAATTCTAATTGAAAAAGTAGATAATTGGTTACTTTTGTCATAAATATAACATAAGTTTAATCTTCTATTCCGTAAAAGTCTACAAACTAGAACTTCGGTTATTATTTTAACTTAACCTGTGTTGGTCTATTACTCACGTCGAACGAAATGTATGCCCCGAGACTTAGTAAACTAGAAACTCAAAACGTTGCTCTGCTGGCAACAGCTTAGTTCCACCGTCATTCAGCATTTAACCTGGAAACGTTGTAATGTCGATCTACGCGTACTAGGACGCACGGTGTAACGGGACGCTTTCCCTTCCAGACCTTCGTATTGCCCCTAGTGTTCTTGAATATAGATAAGTGCAATGTGCGTCTGCTCTACAGCTCTCGCTCTCCTAGTATATTAGCCTCCACTGCTAAAAAGCGCATCGTTAGCTATGCTGTTGCCTATCTAGTTAGTGCTGTTTACTAACTCTCCTCTGACACCCACTATTTATTTGTGACGGCACGTAACTATCTAAGGAAAGCTTAGTAGGCTAGGAAGGAAGCTGAGATAACAAAGATTAAAACTGCAGTGTTAAAAGGTCGATCTACACGCGCCTACTACTTAGCTGAAAGGTAGGTATAGGAAAAAAAGGCTTCTTTTTCCTCTGCGTAGCTTATAATTAAGCTTACGTATCTACGTTCTTATTGATTCTCTAGGGTTTACAGCTCCACCCTATGACATAGATAATAACTTTGCCTTTATCTTTCTTTTTTTTATAGTAGATACTTCTATACACTTACTTTAAGACCTCTTTACTATATACTGCTAATTAGTTTCACCTCTTCAATAATACAAGTCGTTACAATATTCTTATGTTAAGATTCTAGAATAATCTCTTAAATAGAATAGTATTATTCGATAGTTATAGATATCTGCTTTAAATGTCTATCTATAGAGGCCGTAATATGCAAGTAATATGAACGCTTTACTTGATCGTTAGAGTAATATTTAGAAGTACTAGTCTAGGAGCAATTAAGGTTAAAGGGCCAGGTAGCTGGGATCTGATCGCAAATGCGGTCGCTAGTGCTAAGGCCACCGGCTCGGCAGTAGGTAGGAACCTGAGTCTGGGCGTACAGACCGACGCTGTATAGCAGTTAGGTTTCATCCTTATGCGCGATAGGGAGTTGAGGAAACTTACGCAGGTCCGGTCTCGTGGTAAACAGCGAGGTTGTATTGGGGGTTGTTCGTGTCGAAGCCAGATTGTACGGGCTGGAGACCAAAACTGTACTTGCTATCACCGCAGGAGTAGACAGGGCTGGGAATTTCCTGAATGGCCCCACTGGGGCTTGTGCATTCGAGGTCGGTGGCGTCGTTGCCGCTGAGCTTAAAGCTAACAGACTCGACCTCGTTAAAGTTCCAGCGTAGGGAGTAGTCGGTGATGGTGACCATCTCGCCGCACTCGGAGGCGGCTGGAAGCGCAACGGCAGCACCAACGAAGAAAGCAGCAGCGGTAAAGAATTTCATGGTGACAGTTTGAGGTTGAAGAGTTGGTATTTGGGTGGTATTGGATGTTGTTAATGAGTTGCTGGAAAGTGCTGGGTGAGCATGAACTTGGGGAGGATCCGAAAGCTGTATTTATGTACATCACTTCATGTCTTTAAAGGCTTAACATAGTATCACCACTCTACGTCACCAGACATTGCAACATTCCAGGGTGGGGGATACGAGATATGACGGCATCCTAGCAAAGTTTCTTCCAGAAGCGGACACACCCCAGCCAAGTGGGAAAAGCTCCGAACCTAATAAGTAGTGGGTTCGAAACTGCAAAAGCACGTGCGCCTGTGCGCCTGTGCGCCTTTGTGCCTATGGTTAAAGTTACTCCATCCCAGATCAGGAATATTGGTTTGGTGAGCTAGTATCGCACTTTTCGATAATATGGTGTCTGTTACAGCCAATCCCTTACATAGTATGTCTTCACAATTCCGTTTTGTGGATCCACTCGGACATGTGAAACTTACCACTTTATACGAATACGAGACTAGGCCAATGCGCTCACACTAATGAGCACCGACACCCCAACGCGCCCACAATCTCTGTCACGGAGCGTAGGATACTGGGATCTTTTTCATACTAGTCATTTTCCAAAAATATAAGGCTATCGAGCTATGGCCGTATTACTTGTACTTACTGCATGCATAGACCCTGCGTGGGCTGCACGCCACATCCGCCCGTTTGAAGCCACCAATCGGCTCACGTCACGTCACGCCAGTGGTCCTTGCGGATAGTCATGTGACATTGCCAATAGAGCATTCGCAGGGTATGTCTTGTCCACTATACCTACTACGTCAGTCTGGGCACTTAAAATAGCAGTTGCTGACGTAGAGACCATTGTGATCTTGCGCAGAGTCAATAGGTTGTGTGTTTATTGAGTGAGGATAGCACCGATGTCCCTGACCGTAGGAAGGTCGACACTGATAGGCCTTCTTGAATAGTGACTCCGACATCGATAGTATCTAGTTCTGACTCCCCGATGCATGCTCTTGACGTACGGAAATTAGCACGATGCCTACTAGTCGCGTGAACGATGAAACCGCCATTCTGATGAGTAGCGAAGATACCCGGCTTAACGCTTTGTAAAAACTTATGCGCAACGATTTTAAAAAATTTCTTTCTACTTAAGTTCATGTGCTGAATCACGGAGCAGTACTCAGGTATTGTAGCTTGCTAGATGGTCCGGGCGAAACCCTAGATCAACTATTCCTTGTTGTTGCGGAAAAGCCGGCGTCGGTGAACGAAAGTGAAATCATTCGATTTTACTCGGCAGTTAGTATACCTCAGGACAAAAGAACTATCGTATGTGCCGCAACGGCGACATGTACATCTGGAATAGATTCGATCACACATTGTACAATCCAGTGATGGCAGAGAATGGTAAGTCGTTTCGGAAATTTTACCGGAATTCACGCAATCACATCTCACAACTCTACAAAAGCAAGATGCACACAAGTACGTACTTATCTTCAAGCGCAATGTATAACCACTTGCTATATAACCTATGGCGACATTAGAGGCAGTTTTTCTAGAGCCGTTCCGAGGGTAAACGAATGATGGCATGGTTCGATCTTGTCTCCTTCCGGTCAAAGACGAGAGTGTTGCGGTTGCCGAGATAGGAGTTTTTGCTCAAAAGCTGCTCTCCTTGTTGAATGAATCTCGAAAAAAAGCGTACCACTCATCATGTCGCTATAACCGAGTTGAGATCGTAGGTAAATCCCAAGTTTCCAATGAGGTACAAAGATATCCAGTTAGACGAGGAGGCTCTGGGCCTACGTAACACTTCATGGAAGTTACTGGAGCATGCACTGTCGTCTAAAAGTTATCAGAAAACTCTTGAAGCAATGCGCATTACCGGGTTCCTCCGTCGTCTCGTAAATGCACCACGCATCTGTACCGATTTCTCGTAAACCCTGGCACTCTTTTGAAAACCTTCGCCTCCTTCACCTTATTATTTCTTATTCTACGGTCGTCACCTTTTTCTAAAAAATTCCTATATCGGAACCAGATAGTTATATCTCATTGTTTTACTAGAGCTGAATCGAACATCATCGACAACCCGCACGACCCCTATATAGGCACGCGCATCTTGTAAGAAGAGGGACGCCTTGGCCTGCAGCTCGGGCAATCACTTCTATTGCAATTACACGCAAATGCGCAGACTTGCGGGGTACTTCATGATTCATCAATGCTATCCGGGCGTTAGAAACATGACGACCCGCGACACTTGTGTGGTGCCTATCAAGATAACAGAGTTGTGCCATACTAGGGGGTTAGGTCAGTGACATGAGCTTCTCCGCTCAGCCGCTTATCGCCGCGACAATATAAGAGTTCACACTCTACCTTCCAAATGGCGCCCGTGAGTTGCGCTTAAAGCAAGCGGAAATTTGGTACCACAAAACATGGTTTTCTCGGATTGGTGGGTACAGCAATGAAGACGGCTTTTACTATCGGTCATCAAACCCAGTCATGGTTGTTGAGTTTGAGCATCATTCGGGTGTGTTTTGAATGACAAAACTCCTGCATAATTTCAATTCACACCGTATTACGGACACCTGACGGTGGCGATTATGGTATAACCATTCAGCCGTTAATGGAAACCAGATCGCAGGAGCTTTTCAGGGGGGGGGTGTGATTGATTGGCTTACTCGCAGAGTTCTGGTGCGCCACATGTGTTATATTCCCATAAGTAGACTATATCGATGTCTGAATTCTCAAATCATGTGCTAGCTTTCAAACATACTTGCTGACAGCTAGAATTGATCATGCAATGTTCTCTAAAGCTGAATTTGACGAATTTATCATCGTGGCTAGGATAAGGGAGTGGTGGTTCATTCGGACTGCCTTTTCTGGCGGCGCGGCGATGGCCCCACGCAATATGCCCCGCGCGTCATGTTCCAATCAACCATTCATTTCCCAAGCTTGCTTCTTGGGCTGATATTGGAGGAGAAATTCACACTACTTTCGGTTCGTGACTTCTCCACGGCAGCCGGTGTCGCACGTCTGGGCATACCTCCCCTTCGCGCTGCTGATTCAACGTGTTGGATCAGACCAAGCGGACTTGAGGCTGCTACCACAACAGCATCTTTCCCCAACACAACTTGATATGCATCTACATGGAATAAGGAGCCGTTAGGCCGACTAGATAAAGAGCTAGCGTGACAAGCAAGAATGAAAAGTGCCCAAGTCGTACGGGGATCGACAATCAACATTCACCGCAACCCTCGTGCAGGAAGAAATCTTCAGTGTTTCTCTAAAGATCGGTTGATATCAAGCATTCTTTTAAGCGCCATTGTCAACGGGAGACAGTGAGGTTGTGTGGGCGCATGTCCTAAGCATTTTGTAGCAAATGATGCAGAAACGCTAAGTCATTTCTACGGCGTGAAGGAAAAGGTCAACGGCAAGCCACTGAGAGGTATTTACCTAGCAGCATGGCAGTATATTTTGAGAAACTGTGACCGCGAAGGCGTTATTTCAGCGTAAGAAAATTGCAACACTTCTCTGTCATCCAAACACTAATAGTAGCAGTTATAACAATGAAGGTAGACAGGACCTTGCAGCGAGCATACCGAACTTTACTAAGATGTTTTGCTCGGTGACTGGAACTACAAAGACATCGTCATGTCCGGCTGGTCTGTGGTACACGATACTGTTGCATCTATCAAAGTAGGTCTTGATCTTGAAATGCCTTTCTAGGTACTCCGTGGTGGGCGACTGATTGGGAAAGTAAAAGCCGGTGAGGTTTCTAAGCAGACATGTACGCTCGCGCCCTCAAAATGCTTGAATCACGAGGCCGCACCAAGGCTTGTTATGGCGAGGAGCCAGAGCGGTCAGTGATTTCAGGAGCAATCAGTGATCTCGCTCGCTCGATTGCATGGAACGGCATGGTGCTACTAAAAAACGATAATGATACGCTGCCGGCTATAACCAGCAGCACGGTCGCACTCGTCGGCGAGTTCGCAAAAGATCCTGCGTGCATTGATGGAGGAAGTGCTTCTTGTAATTTGTAGGACGGACAATCGCCGCTTGATGTTCATTGCAAAACTTTGAAACAAATCAATTTTGCTTATGGTGTCCGGACTCGACGTATCATCCTTGTGATATCCAAGGAACAAACTCGGGCAAAGAATGGCACACCTGGCATCAACATAGCTCACTACAACATGATTCACTATAAGAACCCATCTTATCCCAATCTGGCGAAGAGCGATAAGTCTCGATGTTGGGCGACTTCAAACCAGGTCTCAAAGTGACTGGATCTTACGTTGGAGTTTTTACTACTCTGATACCTGCGAAGGTGGGACACTACACTTTGGCTGTGCGTTGCGCCGGATCCTTTTCGTTAATGATGGACGATAAAGAGATCTCCTCAGGTCCCGCCATTCCCACAACAACGCATCAATTCATTTTCAACCATGTTCTCCTCGAGGTCCGGAAACAGGTTTCAATGCAGGCGCAAACTACGTACAAATTTGAGCTTATTATTCAAGGATCGGAAAGGCTTAGCATGGGTGAGCCAACGCCCTATGCGGCTGCACTCTGTTTTGAGGACGCCTATTCCTAACAAGACACTATTCAAAGGGTCGTTGCAGTTGCATAGAACAGTGAGTTAAGCATAGTTTACTCAGATTATAATGAGGAGTGCGAGTCTGAAGGATTCGATCTTGAGTTTATCGAACTTCCAGCTTATCAGACCCGAATGATACGAGCTGTAGCAGCTGCCTCTCGCAAGTCCGTTTTGGTCCTTCATGCTGACAATCCAATCGATATTAGTGCAGTGGCTGATCACGTCGATGCTGTTCTCCCAGCGCACTTCCCAGGTCAAGAAGGTGCACATGCTGCAGCAGATATGTTGACAGGGCGTGTTTCTCCAAGCGGCAAGCTCGCAACGGCATGTTCAAGACTCTATCCGGGGCGCCCACTGTAACTAATTTTCCACCTCGACGGCACGGAGATAGGACTGTCAGAGTTGAATATGCTGAGGTAGTTAGTGGTGGGCATCAGGTAGCTGAAATGAAAGGCAAGGTGAGGTTTCCGTTTGGGTACGGGTTGACGTACACATCTTTTGTGTACAGAGGAGTTGAGGTGTCCGTTGATGATAGCACACAAGATCTTGAATACAAGTGCTCTGTTTCTGTGAAAAACACTGGGAAAATGGTATCCAAGGATGTCGTGCAAGTGTAGATCACACCTCCTTCCAACACGATCACTTGGAGACCAGAGATGAAACTCAAAGGGTTCATCAAGACTAGATTGTTGGCATCTGGAGAAGAACTGACTGTCATTATCAAGATCAGGCTAGACATGGCCTGTCGCTACTGGGATGAGGTAGGAAGAGGGTGGACAATAAAGCCAGGGTCATATGTTGTTGAGATAGGAGATCAAAGAAGGAGCTTTGAGGTTAGTGAAGGCAGACTTTGGACTCATTTATAGCTTCCTCGAAAGAATGTGAAGCTGCGAGGCTGAATGCATGGAGCCTTCGAAGCCTTCTGCTTACTGGAATAAGTACCTCCACTGATCGTCTTCGCGGTATTCTGGCATATCCCATCCTACAGGAACATCGCGGAAGTCCTTGTTTCAGACGAATAGATGTTCTCCAACGTTGTCGCGCTCTTCTTCACCTTCTGATCAGGTTCAGTTGTGATGTTATCGCACGTACCATCTTCAAAGAACAAGTGTAGCGTATTGAAGAAGCACAGCTCGTTCCTATATCTTGGGTATGTATTGTCTTCGTGACTCAGTCGAAATCACCGGTCGTTCCCCCGATCTCGAGCATAGAAGCAATTCTCGACATGAGCTCCTAGCACATTCTCAGCCTGATTTAAGACGTTCGACACATTATATGCTACAAACTACAGAGTCCTATGGTAGTTTGTCCATACTGACGCAATAAAATTTCTATTCAATCAGGCGAGATCACCGTTACAAATCAAATTAAAATTGCCCAGTCCAGAGGCAAAGACGATAGCTCTATTGAGCCTTTTAGCTAGATTCAGCACTCTTCGTAGATATATAGGCCTATAGCCATTATCTTATATCCGGAAACCTTTCGAGCTGTTTCGCTAGTCTTCAAAATATGTACAAAAAGATCAAACTGCTGTGCGGCATGTGTCTGGCTCACGCTGTAGGGTGGCAATAGGCAATCTGAGTGCGGATAAGCGGTAAAAGATTCCCGGTGAGACTTTGCCACTCGTTGCCGTTTTGGCCCCAGACGGTTACGCGCCAATGACGAAGTGCTGTTGAGCGGTAGCCGCCCTCGGGCGCACATAGAATATTGCGTTGCTGGTCGCCAGCAATCTGGCCAGAGTCCGAAAGCAATGAGCCAAAAGTTTCTGTAATTTGACAATTCAGCTGGGTATGCAGTCTGTGTTGAGTTCTCGTCTTCAGAATGCAACTCCCAGTACGAGCGAATCCTGTCCGTGTCTATCCCTAAAACTTCGTGAAAGGAATAGATGCCGCAACGGCGGAAGGAAAAGGACATGGTGAAAAATGCAATCAATGCGACACAACTAGATCTTGGTCTAAGACTTTATGAAATCATACCAACAATTGCACGATATGCTTTCCATTTATGAAAATGGTACAATGTAACGGTGGTTATTTGTCACGCACCTGTAGGAGGTGTATAGATGCTTCGGAAAAGCCTCAGCCCTTTTGAATGGTACCGCGAGTAGCAGGCCAGATTCTCCCCGCCCTTACACGAAATATCAGGCAGAGATATAGCGAGTCATGCACTACTAAAGGGTAAGTAATCCGATCGACTCGACCTGTGACTATCCCGCCTTCATAGAAAAGACCACCCACCCACAAATTCAGTCTCTTAATAGCTGAACAACCGAATCGCAGTTTCGTTCATATCTCCTTTTAAGTACTCATCATGATACAAACACCCGGAGTTGGCTAGTCGTGTTTCAACCCCAAAATATCATTGCGACATTTAGCCTAGATAGAAATGCATCTCCGCTCTTTGACTTTAAGCATGATGCAGCACAGATCAATTCCAGACATCATTCTCTACCTACCACTTGTATAATGATATAAGCCATTGAAAAAACAATAACGCTACTCATCTTCAATCTATGATTGATAAACCACCTTGAAAGTCCAAACATATCTATCCGACAACAAGATTTCATCATCCAGTCGAAGGGCTACCGTTCCATCCTCGTTCTTTGTGGCTGTTACCTCAGTGCCCGACATATTACCTCCCAATACCTGTACACTATCACCATTTAAAAACGGGATCGCATCCGGGATTAGTAGCGTCAAGTTCGGCTTCTCCAAAACGTGAATGTAAAAGGCAGAATCACTAATCGTGTATCGAAAATTTCCCTGTCCACTTGTAGTTTGCCAGAAGCGCGTATCGTAGATGGATTCGCCACGTTCCTTGATCCACTTGCCCGCATCCTTCAGCCCTTTCTGCATGATCTGCGGGATTGTGCCATTCGCCATCGGGCCAATGTCAAGTAAGAAATTGCCGTTCTTGGATACAACATCGACGAGTGTCTTGACAATGTCGATTCCAGTTAGGTATCCAGTATCGGGCGTGTCTTTGTTGTATCCGAACGAGAATGGATCCATACCACGGTTCGTCTCCCACTTGCTTACAACTGTGTTGCCGTTTGTGACGTATTCGGGTGTTGTGAAGTCGCCACCGCTGGCGTCACTATGGTCCGTAGAGCCGTATCCGCAGCGGTTGTTGTATGTAACTTGGCGGCCCTGATCCCGCGCCCAGTTCAGCCATTTGGACAACATGATAGTGGCATTGTTGGCACCTCCAATATCACACCACATTATTTCCGTCTCATACCGTGAGTCGTAGGCAAGCGTCTCCATCTGGGGTAGCTGCAGGTCTGTTACGTAGTCGGATACAGGTACATGGCCGGTGTAGGGTACCTCGACACCAGTGTAAGGGTTCTTCGGGGGCCCACCAGGGAATCCACCACAGCAATCGGTAGCATATTTTGAGTAGTCTGGATTGAACCACTCGGGCATAGAGAAATATGTTCCGCGTCTGATATCTGGATGATATGTTTTTGCCGCATTCATGAGTTCTGCCAGGAAGTCACGCTTAGGTCCAAGTTTTACAGAAGATCGCAGACTGGTCGACGTGGGCACATCGAATATTGCAAAGCCTTCATGGTGTTCTAGAAATTATAAGCCTTGTTTTTTCTACTCTCAGCATCAACTCACTTGTTACAGGAACAAGATACTTTGCTCCAGCCTCTGCAATGAGATCCACCCATTCTTTCGCGTTGAATTTATCTCCAGTGAAGGAAGGAATGAAATCATCGTAGTTGAAGTTCTCACCATAGGTCTCTCTATGATACTGGTACGTCTGAGACTTATAGTTTGGCTGTGTCATGCGCATCCAATACCATTCAGCGTAATCTTCCTTATCGCCTACATTGCCAAACGCCGGAACAGAGAAGACACCCCAATGAATAAAGATGCCGAACTTAGCATTGTTATACCAATCTGGAGTCCAGTGCTTGTTGAGGCTGGCCTTGGTTGCAGTATAATCGCCAAAACCGCAAGATCCAGTCACGGTCGTGGAAGTTGTTTTTCCACCAATCCAGTTGGCAGTTACAGTTCCTGAACATGGATCTCCAGGCGCAACTCCTACTTTGTTCTTGACGCCAATTTGCGCGACAACTTGCTGTCCAGCCATAAGCCGTGTAATTCTGGCGGCCTGGACAAGATCAAAAGACGAAGAGGAGGCTGTAATGGTGAGGTTCTCTGCTTTGGTGAAGGATTCTACTGCGTCATGATTGGTCAGAACCATTTCGATGATCTGAACTTTATCTGAGCCCTCAAGCCATTTGGAAGTCAACGTAGCGGCGTCAATACTAATACTAGTAGGGGTTGCTCGTGTTTCCAATTGAGAGGCTGCATCGTATCCTGGTGGTGCAGCGAGGACCCCTAGGTGGGGAAGAAGAAGTACAACTATGCCGAAGCGATAAATCGACAAGTAACGCGACATCCTGGTCTTGATAGTGTGAATTTCAACTCTCAAATGGCGACTTCGATAATGCCTTTAACTGCTCCATACTTGTACAATTTACATTCGTCACATGTTTGTAGATCTGTAGATCTCTTCGGCTACTCGGCCGAGGCATCCTCGATTCAATAGGTGACCCCCGCTGAGATGTTCGCATGTTTGCTTGCTTAGGTAGGTGTTTTGACAGGTTCCCCGCATGTTCACACTGAGTGGTCATGCGTGCTTCGTATTTCGGAAATTAGCCGTAGCGTGCATCGCATCCGGGTTTGACTTCAACATATTACAGGGTTTATTATAAGTACCAGTATTTAAGAACGCTCAATTTGTTTATAAACTCAAGAGCATGTGGAGCTGCAACTAAATGCTGCTTGATAACCCTGTTGCGCATCGCAGTGGGCAGCAGTGACGGCACAAAACCCACTTGTCGAACAGCAATCACCGGAGCCAGAGCCCCAGAGGTCTTTCCATTACTTCCGCATTGGGCATCGGTAACTTCGCATAGATGTACTTGATGACGGCACAGCCGGACGTAATGGATACGTAGTCAGAGGTAGCCTGCTCGTCATAAGTAGTGGGATGTCGACGAGAGTTGCTTAGCCTGAATGTTCAGCTGGCATGAGACTCATTCCTGTTCCATGATATACGGCCTGTCTTCTTCCATCCAGTCTGCAGCTACCTCATGACAGTACTCGCTCGAGGAGGTATTGCATTGTCCGCTTAACACTGTGGGGCTCTTGGGGATAGCCAGTGCTCACAAGTCCCTGTGGGCAAGAGGGGTTGGCAGCGTAAAGCAGGCGCTCAATGATGACCGTTGCTTGTCCATAGTCAGATTTGGTCATGAAAAAGAAATAATTTCAATGGCAAATCAACTTACCTGTATAGGCCATGCCCTCATCTGCAGCCCCCCCATGCGCCGTTTGCGTGCAGGTCTTACGAAACAAACAGCAAGCGATGTTGCTAATAACTGGGTCGTGTCAGGAACCACCCGCACCCGCTTCTGCGCCGCTCCGACCAGGTGTCACGTGCTCTTCGTCAGCATTCTTAGTGCCCCAATAATTCACAATCCCTAGTGTACGAAGCCGAAAAAGTAAGTCCATGCTGGGAAATCGAGATTGGCGAAGATTTTGCTCCACCGCCAAGCCTGCATGGACCATGGTTCCTTCCTCCCACAGTTGGTCAACCCATGTCAACTATTCCTTTGCTTGCATCGATCTCGAGTCCTTTGAAATCTTCTCGATAAAAAATATATGCACTTGGATAAAGTTTAGGCATCGAAACACATCTGAAGAACATGTTGAATGCGAAAGGGCGACAGGATTCGTCGTCATTTGTCTCATGCATAAGTTGGAAATTCTAGTAAAGAGATAGCTAAGATATTCGCATAGTAATTTTTACGTGCAGAGCACTGGCTTTTGTGAAATTGTGGCGGTGCTGAGAGTCATCTTGTATATCGGTACTTCTCATTTTCGCCTTGCCCTCCCTTCTTTCTTTTCTTTTCTTTTTTAGAAAAATACGCTATCAATTGCTCCTGTAAATAATAGTAGATGGTATTGTTTGTACTGCTGTGTGACAACACGTGTACCGAGAGCTTTGCATTGACCTCCAGCACTGCTAGTGTCAGTGGACAGTTGAAACTCGATGCCTCGATGCGAAAATGCCACTGGGCTGCTGAAACAATCCACTATCGTAGGTCGTCCCTTCCAGATCCTAACACAACGGAAGCAACATGATACAAGGATGTTGTGAATCACTAAGATCATCGTCCTTCGGGGTTTTGGATGGCACTGGAAGATGAGCTTCTCAACAATATTGAGATGAAAGCCACAGTGGGGTAACGAGGTATCTGGAAGTTTATCACATGCACGCATCGACTAGTGACGTAGTAATGCTAGCGGCTCAGCAGAGCTGAGAGACAATGCGCACCAAGCTTCAACTACATTTGCCCATGGTATAGCCCTGTACGCGGTATCAAGCAAAGGAAGTTAGCAGTCACACAATACGAGCCTAGGAATCTAATACTACTTTGCTCCACCAGTCGCGGGAGCTACCGAAGCCGCCGATCCATTGCCGTAAACTTAGCGTAAGCACAACTATTAGGTGTTTCCCCTAACAATCTCACCGTACTACACGTCTTCCCGCCGCTCTTTCGAGAAAAGAGGCAAATCTGACTACCATAGAAACAAGATCTCCGTACTACTATTAATCAAGCATCACCTTCCTGCAAACCTTTCGAGTTCCTAGATTACGCAATTGATCAACGCTCTACAATGGAACAAAAGACATGGGTAATGCTCGGTACAAGATTTAAATCCTTATAGATTACTTATCATCGACCAATAACTTATCTCCGATTCCAGAGAACAACCCAGATGTAATGAACCAACTAGCAACCAAGTTAGGTTTATCGTCTGAACTTCAGTTCTACGACATCTATTCAATAGATGAACCTGAACTTATGGTGCATATACCGCGACCCGCTTTAGCTCTGCTTGCCGTAATTCCACTTACCCCGGCCTGGAACCAGGCTCGCAACGCCGAAGATGCCGAAAAAGATTGGTACACCGGCTCCGGACCAGACGAGCCAGTTATCTGGTTCAAGCAAACGATTGGACATGCATGCGGCTCGATTGTTTTGCTTCATAGTGTCATCAATGGTCCAGCTGCTGATTTTATTGAGCCTGGTTCTGATCTAGCAGCTATACGAAGCGTTGCTATCCCCCTAGATATAACTCGACGCGCCGAGATGCTATATAACTGCGAGCCATTTGAACACGCTCACAAGTCAGTTGAGCAGGCTGGTGACAGCTATTCGCATCCAGCAATTGAGCGTGGTGGTGGTCATTTCGTGAGTTTCGTCAAGTGTGGAGGGAAACTCTGGGAGCTTGAAGGATCAAGAAAGGGCCCCTAGAAAGAGGAAGTCTGGCTAATGACGAGGATGTTCTCAGCCCGCGAGCACTTGAACTTGGCATCAAAAGGATCATCAAGATGAATGCGGATGGTGGGGAAGACGATGTTCGTTTGAGCTGCATTGCTTTGGCTCCAAAAGTCTAGAGTCTACACAGAAGATAGCGCATCCAAATCACAAGCATATCATGTTGTATTTGGTGTAACAGACTACAAACCGCTTGGCAGAGGACCTCGATGAGAGCCAGGTGCACGGACGTTGCATCAGCGCGTAGGTCTTAGCAGCCGCAATTTTCCCATATACACCGCACGAGGGCCCTGCACTTAAATTAACAGGAGAATATGGTTTTCCGAATCTTTGCTAAGAAAAGTCGGACATCGTCTGAGGTGTGTGAAGGTAAGTTTGTCAGTGCTCAATTTGGCGGAGCATTGATAATAATACATGTACTACAGGACAAAGAAGACAAAGAAACCTAATGGGCAAATATGTGCTACTATCCACAAGGGCTTGAAGATTCGGCTTGTAGATTGCATTCAACTGTTGTTATCCACTTTAATGTTCTGATTACAACTGAACGCGAAGCCTCAGCAACTTTAAACTCCTTATCAATTGCCCTTTGCTTGCCTTCACTCCTCAATCTCAACCTAGTCGGCAGGAATCAACCCGGATTTTCTAGTATTTATCGTGCTTGGAGACTATTAAGGCAAGTGCCACAATGCGTATAAACATCTGGGTCCAGTTGAGAAAGGACATTGTAGCGGTTGTCGTATACGGAAACTTGAAAATGGAAAATTTCCAGGTTCAATCTAATGGCTTCCTGCCAATTCTAAGCTATAGATTTCGGTGAATATATCCAACATTCGTTTCAAGATTTTAACGCAAGCACCATGGCTATAAATCAAATGCAAGGGGCAAACCAGCAATTCTGCTAACTTTTGGAATTCCCAGACGTTGGAGCACGTAGTGCCTGAGTTAAGGAAGTCCGCAATGCTACAGGATAGAGTCGCGCCACTTGGAGATACAAAATTGAGAAGATTTCTACTTTTTCTATTAGAAATCTTCTTGAGTGCTTTTATCCACAGTATCTTTAATGCTTTCCTTGTTTTATCAAACAACCCAATGCAACCTCTCCTCGCCTCGTGAGTTCAACAGAATTGACACCTATTCACACCCCAAACGCCCGTGCTAAAGCTAACGCACTTTCCTGTCGCTACAGAGACTTTGTTTCCACAGCCCGAGTCTCCACAGATCCAGTACGGTCCGCAGCTCTGCGTGCAAGACCACAGATCACCGTTAACCCAAAGAGCCGAAAACCCGCCTGCAGGGCCACTAGCGAGTGAATTTAGCATGAAAATGTCGAATTCCAGTTGGAAGTAGATCCAATCTTGGAAAAAAGGCAAGCCGGGTTGCTTACCCTGTGATTTGGCCAATGCCAGGGTGAGCTTCACCAATGTAGTTCTGACAATTTCTGTCGGAGTAAAAGTTGATTTGGCCAGCAGCAGCCAGACCAATGGTCGTAGCCGCCACAAGAAAGATATTGGTGAAATGCATTTTGGAAGAGGCTGATGGTTATGCTTGATTCTGCTGTTGTTCGATGTGACTTGTCGAGCGCAATGCATTGAACCTTTATATCTCATCTTGAAATAGTCGCTGTAAGAACAATTAGATCAGCGCTGACCACAACTTCCAAAATCAGCAATGCCCTCATCCCAAAAAAGGCTGACTTAATATTGCATAATAATTGCGCTGGCTTACTGAGCAGACTAACACCACATGATTTCGTCTTAAATGAATCACGCTAACTTCATCGGGCATTTGATAGTAAGGTAACCTTCCTGATTCAGAGGTAAGAGCTAGCGCAGGACTAGTGTGGAGCAAGTGAGTATGCAGGACTACAATAATAGGCGAAAAAAGGTTTTGGCTGATTACTACGTACAGAGCATCACGTACTATGGGTCTGGGCGCCGTAAGATGCACTACAGCTGTGCGAACATGTGCATAAAAACACACATTTTCAGAGTTTTAGTCAACAGCAACGCTACGTGAAATAATGCATAGAAAGCAGCCCAACCTCTGATTGAGCTAAGATATCCACGATTCGTAGATTGTATTGTACTGGTGCACAAGGTTACGAGTAGCCCTTAGGTAGAAGTTACGACCTAAGCCGAATAGTACATATAAGAGGGCAACGTCCGTATAATATACATCATAGAGAAATCTATAAGTTCTAACTCCCTAGATATACCTTACTAAGCTCTATTATTCAGCTTGATATCTGCATGACCTAACAAAAATAGGTGAAGGTGAAGGTACTCGTAATCTCTATATTCGGACTAGTCGTGTCGCACTCTGTTCCTCTGGTTTTTATGAACTTCTTGTGTGTGGCGGAATTCCTAGAAACACTAATTTAAATGATGCTGAAGAGTGTGACAAGCGTGAAAGCATAGGAGCGACTTCCCAAATATCTGCTATACTTCACCCACCACACAGTCCGTACATGTTAAAAATGCCAGTTACCGGTCGAGGTATGCCACACCCCTGTAGCAGTCAGCATCATAGGGTCCCACTGTATCTATGTAGAAGTATTCTACCAAGCTTAATGCCAGTGTGCCTCCTGAAGAAGGGCCAAAGGCAAACACATATTCCAAGTCTAGCTGGAGCTGTTGATGTTCTAAGGAGATGGACTGTTCGAGGCCGCCCTTATGAATCCACGCTAAAAGGTCACGGCAATCTTGCATTGGCCCTCTAAGGACAGTCACTTGTGGACAGAGCCGATGATTGGGGGCAGCTACCACCCAGCCTCGATATAAGCAGTCCTCTATCTCATCTCGGTTCACCATTTTGCTCGAGCCGGGCATGAAAACTCCACAATGAATATCGATCACTAGATATGTCAACAAATTAATCACTGGGAGTTTTGATAGAGCTCAAATCACGTACAGATTGGAGCTGGGGATGACCTCTTCTGTTCCGCGAACGGCAAATAGACATCGGCATCGATCGCTTGTTCATCCAACACTTTGTAGACCACGGGGAAGGTAGACATGCTGGTCGTAACTATAGTGAGATATTCGAAATTTTACGCACGAGTAATTTTACTGATGTAAACAGAACCTCGAGTGCGCGTGGAATAAACCATCTCTGATACTATCAGAGTCTACGCTAGCGGATATCCCGCAAAATCTGGTTCTGGCATTTCCGCCACCTCGGGATTGATCCACTGGATCCTGGTAGCTGAGACCCAGGGGATTATCTAACACAAGACTTCGGGCAGCAATCACACGTAGACGTCTTGCAAAGAGGCATATACGTGTTCTATACCCTGACCCAACCACTGTATTTCTCACACCAAACATTCACAACGTTGCCGTAACCTTTTTTCGTCTGTTGTACACCAGATTGAACACATTCAGAATGAGCATCTCAATCTCGACGATCCCACCAGCGTCAAGAACGACATACATGTTGGATCAGCTCGAAGGAGAGCATCATACACTTCCAGGAAGCAAAGGTGTATTTCGTATTCTTGCGTCATCTAAGCAGACCAATCACAACACACCAACTTCGAGTTTTCCAGAATAGGTGTAATTTTAGCTCAATATATACAAATCCATCACAAGAAATCAATTATAACTAGTACTAAGTCGTGTAGCCTACGCGCTATAGAGCTAGAAGCTAGTAAAGTAGCTAATTTAAA